CAAGTAGATATATGCAAACCAATATTCATAGCAGCATTATTTACAATAGCAAAAAGATGGAGATAGCCAAAGTGCCCATCAACTGAAGAAAGGATAAACAAACTGTGGTATATACACACAATGGAATATTATGCTACCTTAAAGAACACCAAGGAAGCTGTAGTATAACATGGATGAACCTTGAGGACATTATGTTGAGTGAAATTAATCAGTCCCCAAAGGAGAAATACTGTATAGGAACACTATCGTAAAAGACCAAGAAAAAGAACCCATACTAAAGGGAATTCTTTGTTACCGGGATGTGGGGACCATGGTGAGGGAAGGGAGGGGAAGGTGGAGCACAGGGTAGGGAATAGACACAGGATAGTTTGGGTGCTGGGGAGAGGGGCGATAAACAATAAGGGGAAGGAGAACGGAAAAACAAGGCAGATGGAAGAACAATTAGGCAGGTTCGCATGGGCTAAGTGGAACAGAGGTAAATAATAATGTATGCACAACTTTGGAACAAAAGGGGTCTGGGATATAGGGACTGAGGCATAGCTGGAATGGGCAAAAGGGGAGAAATAATGTTAAGATGCTTGGCTGTCTTTTGAATCTTGGTTTCCCTGGCATACCACTGTAAAATAGACACTTGAGGGGAAGAGAAAGGAATAGCCACAAATATCACTGTAGAAAGCTTGTAAGTCTGTCTTCTGTCTATAACTGATTGGAATACCTAAAATGGGGCTACAACATGCCCAGTGAAGGAGGCTTCCTGTGGAGCCTCTGCATTACATAAGACTATAGGTGTAATCTTGAACCCCATGCAGAATCTTCCGAGGTGAGAAATTTCCACTTGAAAGGACAAGCAGATCAGCCTGGAGCGGCTAGAAGAACAAGAGATACTTCTTGAAAGAAAGACCAACAGGAAAAATACAAAACAGTATTTGGCAGTCTGACTGACTACTACAAGAACAAGCAAGTTGCTCACCCAGGAGATATCAAGGCAAGTGGTTGGGCAAAGCCCTTCCAAGACTAAGACTCAATGGCAATACACACTCTGACTGGTGACCACATCAGTCACCGATAGGGGGAAGTGAAGGAAAAGCAGCAATGAAGTTGTGAGCTAAACCCTACAACGTTCAATAGATTCCTGTGAACATGATGGAGATCTGGTTGGCCAGCAATATGGCAAGACCTGGAGACTCCTGGGCCCAGAGTCAGTGACATAGCCACAGAGGACTAGAGTGGAGACTGAAGCATCAAGCTCATAAGGAGAGGGCATATGTACAACAACACCCACACTTGCAGATAATACCCACTCGACCAGGCTTCAATGGCTGGATGATCAGAACTCAACTACAAGAAGAAAGAAGAGGAAAAAAAGAGTAATCTGATACAATTTGATAAACTTGACCTATACCTATGGACGCAATAGCTCAAAAGAGGGAACAAATCTTTATAGCAAGGATCATTCCCACTCCCTCAATACACAGGGTAGACAGGGATGGGAAACTTGGACATTAGCTACCAAAAATGGGGGAGGGGGAGGGCTACAAAGGCAAGAAGTGACTGGCTTACAAGCTTTCAAGAGGGAGCCTAGATCCAGAGGGCATGGAGAAAGGTAGAATTTCTACTGAGTAGTGTCCAACTGAGTAGTATCCAATCTGTCTGG